CGCAGCTGGAGTACTGCGTCCAGTTCTGGGCGCCGCACTTCAGGAGGGATGTGGACAACATGGAGAGGGTCCAGAGGAGGCCACTCGCATGATCAGGGGGCAGCAGGGCAGGCCCTACAAGGAGAGGCGACGGGACCTGAACCTGTTCAGCCTCCACAAGAGAAGGCTGAAGGGGATCTAGGGACCTGTTACAAACTAGTCAGAAGGGACCAGCAGGCATTGGGGGAGTCCAAGAGAAGTGGTGCAGGCTCCTACCCTGGGGGTCTTTAAGAAGAGGTTAGATGAACACCTTGCCAGGGTCATTTGACCCCAGTACTCTTTCCTGCCATGGCAGGGGGTCGGACTCGACGATCTACTCAGGTCCCTTCTGACCCGACCAACTATGAAACTATGTTCCTCCACCAGGGTGTGATGTGTGACAGCCATAATCCTGCCTTAGTCTCCTCATGGTTCAAAGCCTGCTGTAGCTTGGGACTCTGAAAAGTGGTGCCAAAGGATAGGTTTTACGTGCTACACTGAAAACAAAATATAACAGAATGCCAGTTACTGTAGATTAAATAATTATTCTTTCTTCTTCAATACTGCCATTGTGGATCACACTGTTTAGTAGAGCTGTGCAAAACTTCGGTAGCCAATTCAATTCAGAGGAGGTTCAGCCCCATTTGGCGGCTGAATCTCCTTATCCGAATAGAATCGGGAGACTCATTAATCTCTCCAAATCAAATTGGAAGCCTCTGAATTGATTCAGAGAGATTAGGTCATAGACTGTACAGGCAGGCGCTGCGGTGCTGGTGGGAGCAGCTGGGGAAGCCCTGGCTTGAGCTGGCAGCCCCAGGAGAAGCCATGGCTCATCTGGCTGCTCCCCCAGGTTCCCTCCTGCCGGGGTGAGGCAGGCAGTGCTGGCAGCCCCAGGACAAGCTGCAGGGGCTCGGGGGAATGATTGGGAACAGAAGGAGCAAACTGGGGGGAATGAACTGGGGCTTCTCCCTCGGACTATTTGATGTACTCATGGTCACGCGGTGTGGACTGCCAGTCTCTGTGGGCCGCCTGCGGACGGTGGCCGGCAGTGAACATGGACCCCGCACCCCCGATGGGGTGCGGGGATGGATCCAATGTTTAAAATACCCCTGAAGGGGTGGGTCCCACTGGTTGCCGCCATCATTGTTGCGTTCGCTGCTGCGGCGAGGGACGACCAGCACCATAAGACTTCAATTAAAACAGTCTGGATCGGGTAACTTGTTGGCATCCGGCGCTCAATGTTGTTGGCAGTTGTCTAAAAGGCTAAAAGCTTAAAAGCGTAAAAAAGTCCTGGGAGAAGTCCTGGGTGCTGGGGGGAAATGATTGGGGAGCTGGGGGATCGAACTGGGAGTTGGGGGGAAATGACTGGGAGCTGGGAGAATCAAACTGAGAACTGGGGAATTGAACCAGGAGCTGGGGAAACAAACAGGGACTTCCCCCCTGCCCCCGGTTTGATTCTCCAGTTCCCAGTCATTCCTCCCAGCCCCCGCAGCTTCTCCTGGGGCTGTCAGCACTGCCTGCCTCATCCTGGTGAGGGTGCAGCCAGACGAGCTGTGGTGCCGGCTTGAGCCGGGGCTTGTCCAGCTGCTCCTGCTGGCACAGCCTACCTGTATAGCCCATGGCCAAATGAGATTTGGGCCAATATCTTCGGATTCAGATTTGGCCGAATCGAATCACTGTCCCTCCAAATCGTCGAATACTTTCCGCCTTGCACCAGCTGACTATTTAGCCAGAGGCTGCCTTACTTTTGGTTCAAGACCTTGGTTGGTACTGCAGTATGCAGTATGGACGTACCCTTCAACTTAATCATGATCCTGGGTAGGACTTGGACAAAAAAGGATTTTACTCTGCAGTTGAAGGGAGGCAGAAGAGTAAATATATATCCTACAAAAATATATCTGCTTTGGAACTTTATTTTTTCAGGTTTCAATTGGATTTTCCCAGGACTGCCAAGGTGATTAAAGAACCCAGCCTGGGGTGGGAATAAAAATCATCTCTATGGACTTGATATCTTTTTTTTTTTTTTTTTTTTAAACTCTTTTTGCTGTAGCCTCTTCCTATTGCAGTGTTCTCAACCTTTTCAGAGTCAGGACACCACTCCGCAACTTTTCTGAATCTGGTGGCATGCCTCTGTTGAAAACCACCATGCTCAACTTACCTCGGTGCTTCTCAACTGGGTGCTACTGCCTCCAGGTAAAATTTCCCCTCACCTTCTGCACAGGCAGACCAGGAAGGAGTACTGCACAAGCACACACTCCTCCTGCCCTAGGGCTCTCTGCTAACCTTAAAGCAGAAAGAAGAACAAGATCGTGCTCCAGCCCTTCTCAGTCTGACTCTACATGGCATCTCCCAGAAAGAGGCATGTGAGAGAGGTGGAAGTATCTTGCATGCCTCTGTTTCTGGGAAGAGCTTGGGGCAGCCAGACTGGAAAAGGCTGCAGCCCTGGCCAGCTCTTCCTGATGCAGGAGGAGTGCACATGTGCTGCAGTCCAGCACATGGGGCAGTTTTACTCGGCCTTGGCAGTGATGGTGCCTGCACCACAGTGCCCTGGGGGAGAGGAAAAAGGGGTCTCATGGCACCCTGGTTGAGAATCACTGCTTTACTGAAAGGGCGATCTTCAGGAGACCCGATATCTGTATAAATGAAAACAAAAAAACTCTTTTTCTTGGACAACTGGTTTTCTTGGGGCGGGTTTTGTTTGTTTCTTGCAAAGTCTGATGTTCTCAAAAGGCAGATTATTAAATGCTTAAGATATCGGGCATCAATACTGAGGCTACCGCCTTCACCCAGTGACGATGAAGAATGGCACTTCCATTTATGCCACTCCTTCCTGGTCCAATGGAGTCACAGCGAAGCAACAAAAGTTACTGCTCCTGCCTGTCCCACATGATTATGCTTGACAAGAAACCCAACAAAAGTAAAGTAAAGAAATGAAAATGTAAACAACTAAACTGTACTCTCAGTTTTTCCACCCAAAAGCAAACATTGTACTGTTACAACAGTTACCCTGTACCACAGTTCACAGCAAACTTTGCCCTACTTTGGTGTTTCCATTAGAAAATTGTCCTCTGCTCACTAGCAGTTGTGGAAATGTGATGCAAACCTTTGGTAAATGAAGTGCAGCTGCTCCTGCTGCAAAATATTTTCTGTCAGTGGATAACACCACCATTTTGCAGCATAAGATCTGGCAAAAACAGTGTGCGTGTCCAGCCTCCAGACAACAGGGCTTTCCCAGACCTGGCCACTTGCCAAATCAGTCAGTTTTCTGCATACGGCACAGAAATTTTCAGTAATACCTTTGAACAGTAACTACAAAAAACCCTATCAAAACCCCACAACCTGCTGTACTAGGCCTACTCAGGTAATGTTTTGGGTAGATGGACAAAGTCGGAGGGAGAATGACCAAAGATGAAAATGAGAACTGCAGTGGATGCATCTACTAGGGATCAAATTTTAAAGACTCCCATTTAAAATGTATGAAAATAGTCCAAACAAGATCACCACAGAAAATATAAAAGGGAATAAAAGCTGATCTGTATATTAAATATTTTATCTTTTTATAATTTATCTTGTTTTATTGTAAGCTACCCTGAACTTTTTTAGGGGAGGACACCATATAAATAAATATTTTCAGGTTAATTGTCCAAGTATTTTAATTAAACAACAGGAATATATACCCTACATTTAGCCCCTTTAAGACCTCCTCCCCAACTATGGAGCTGCTACCAAGAATCTCCACAGTTAAATATATGCATCACTATGTTTCTACAGCAGCAAGTGAGATTTTTTAAAAAAAATAAGGGAAATATATTCCAAAACTTTTACTGAGATAAGATAATTTAATGTTAATTCTGTTATTATTACTAGAATGACTTACAGTATTTTAGACAGCCATAAAGTATAGACTTAAAGTTCATACTTAAAAATAAGTAAAAATCAGACAAACACAAACTGCTGAAGACTGTAAAAGTTATTTTATACACCGTAATATCTCAAAGTCTTAAAGCTGCCTGCCAAATACACAGCCATATATATTTTAAACAAAATTATAGTTATACTTGCCTTAGTGGTAGAGGTGATGATACAGGCTGACTAAGAATCAGGTTATCGTGGGGTGATAGCTAAAAAATAAAAATAAAAAAGACTTTTGTATATACGTTTTTGTGGACATTAGAAATACCAAATAAGAACGAAAAAGCCAATGCTAAAAAGATTAAATGAAGTTAAAAAAAATCACGTTGAATATTAATACCGTCTCACATTTTAATATTTTACTTATAAGATTTAGGAGACACTCTTCCTTTTCTTGCAACAGAAAGTTGTCTATCATCATCTTACATACCCAGAAGGAGGGATTAAAATATATATGCCCACATCACATCTGGATTAGAGTCTGTCAACCGTCCAAAATGAAGCCTTTAACATTTTAGATAAACAATGACCTAGAGCCCAGACGTTCCTTCCATCATAAGACTGTAAAATAGCATCTTCTACTGAAGATAAGGCCAGATTCTTGGCTGATGTTAAAACAGTTCAGCTCAACCGGATCTAGTCTAAGAAACTACTCTACACATCATCTTTCCAAAGGTTTCTCCAACAATGACATCAAGAGCAGGTGTTTCCAAGAGAAGCACGCAGGGTCATACGTGGAAGGGATGCAGCAGGACTGGGCACTCCTGCTCATCAGATAGCTCTGATGTAGGTAGGCTATGTGCTCCTGCTGCAACCCTGTCCAGTCCGGCTCTGCAAGAGGCACACGGGGCAGTTTCACCCGGCAGCAGAGGTAATGATGGCGACACCCTGGTTGAGAATCACCAAGGTAGGCTGAGACAGTACAACAGTGGTTCTCAACCAAGGTGTCACCAAATTAAAAAAGTTATGGAGTGGTGCCCTGAATCAAAAAACGTTGAGAATCACTGTTCTACTCGCTCAGAGTTTTCCTCTAAGTCTGTAGCTGTCATGGGAAGTCCTAAGACCAAGTCACCAAGGACAAAATACCGTTTTGTAACTTGGTCAGAACCAAAGGATTTGAGTTCAATCATTTTGGATACAAGACTGTTGAACAGACTCACCTGTTCTCAGGTCTACATTTTTAACTATTTTCTCTATCCTGATTGCCTCCTGATGAACAAAAGAAACAACCTAACTGGGTTTAATAAGCTTTAAAAATAGCTCCCTCATGAAATCCTCAACTAACAGGATTTTGTTTTTACCCCTGCCAATATTGCATGAGGTTGAAGAGAAGATACAATTTTAACTGGTGATCAACCCAATCCTAGTGATTATGCCACTTTTACATTGTGGAGCCTGGAGAGATTACCTTGCATGAATGGACAGCAAGGGTCACATATCTGATAAATTGTGCCTCTAGTGAACGTGCATTGATTCTACAGATTTCAGTGGCAACTATATACAAGCAGACAGCAAAGTAAGGTACATTGAGGGGAAACAAGTGGCCACAAAGAATTTATTAATGCCCCATATCTAGCTTAAAAATCCCACCCAGTTTCAGCTGATTGCAATAAATAGAAGAAAATACTTTCAGGAGCTATTGTGGCTTCACAGGGATCCTCTAGCTTTTTCTCTCAACTGTGACGTGGCCGTCCCCACACGAAGTCAATCTTGCTTATTACTTATAATGCTCTGCAAAATGCAAACTAAACTAGCGGGCTAAAATCCGTTCTTTGCAAATTCTTTGTGAATCTGGATATTAAAAAGTTTTTTGTTTGGATATAAACATGTACATTATATTTTCACACACACAAAGCCTTACCTTGACTTATGCCACGGTTAAATAAGAAAGAATTTACACATACCTGAACTAAAATTCTGGGTCTCTGAGGGGATGGAAAAGGAACTTTGTGCATAAAATGGGAAATGTGTCTAAAGAAAAAGAAAATACTGACTTTAATACAAATGGATAGTTTGGGAAATACATTGTATTGCCTCCACTATGAAGAGTGATCATATAAAAATAACCTATTTGCTCAGAAGATTGGATCCCTATGTACCTTCAGCCATATTTGTGCTTTTATTCAGTTACTAATGCAAGCTTTTGCCATTTATAGTTCTGAACAGGAGAGGTAAAAGTTGCCAGCCATGACAAAATAAAACAGGTTCTTATTACCCCAGTGCAGTACCAAACCAATGTGACTACACTGCTGTTGGCTCTGGAGCCAGCCGGCGCAGAGCTGGGTCAGGTCACTCTGTGCTGCAATATGGCCTTCATCACGCAGACGATAGTCCATGAGCAAGCATATTTATCACTAGCTTGAGGCATCTCTGCCCAGCACAGCATTATGTCATTTAGACATACCCAGCATCTTCACGGTCATGGTATTTGGACACTTTGGAAATGTACACGATCATTTTAATTCCTTTTTATACATCAATGCAACCGGCTGCTAAAAATCCTCAACAAAGAAATGTAGTCAAGTCAACCACTCTGTTACTCATGTGCAGGCCCAGTGAAGGCAATGGGACAGCATCATCCCAAAGGACACAATCTGGCCATGGGAACCTGTACCGGTAGCAAGATGACAGAAAACAAGGATCTCTCCCACAGCCCAGGTTAAGTTCATCAGGCTGGCAATTACACAAATGATCCTCCTATTTCTACCTTTTTAACTATTAATCTTGAATACCACCATGTCACTTTAGTTATCTCTCGTCAAACTGGGGGAACTCAGCCTCATAACCAGATAAATGGAGCCCCATGCTAACAGCATTTGCAAATGATGTGTGGCACAGTAACGTTAGGGAGAACAATGTCAATGTATTTCTATTCACGGCCAGCTTCTAAGACACAAATTGTACATAAAGATCAGTGACAAAAATATTTTCAGATACCTGAAATGATCTTTGATTCTAAAGATAGAAGACAAAAGCTTCTTCCCATGCAGCACCTTAAATTCCCAATGTCTTACTGGGAATTTCACATGTCTTACTTATCAATAAGTTTTATATCAAATATATTATTATTTATAGAACTGGGTTATAGAATATAAATAATAATATCTAAAGAGTAATGTCTGTAACCTTCATTCAGACTACAGACATTACTCTTTAAATACAGACATGTATATCAGATTTTACAAACCTAAGGATTAGTCTCACTTGTGACAATCCAATTCAGATAACACACTGAGAAAGGTAAGACCATCAATGTAAAATCCAGCCTGATTTATCATCTCTAAACACACACATAATAAATATTTGAAAAGTGCAAAAATACATGTACTATTTTCAGCTTTTTTTCTGCTCTATCTGATAATATAATAAAGGGCTTATAATCTTACTACTAAGCAAAATGTTAAAAAACCCTAAGATCAGCTTTTCAATTTTAAAAAGAACTGAACTGCTTAAGTGGCATATACAGAAGAGATGAAATACACTTCTCTAACAATCTGGACCTTTTAAGAGAAACGAAGTTTATACCCCCTGGAGGAATGAGCATCTGATTCACTATAACAGCAGCACAAATAAGAAATAAAACATATATCACTTTGATATGTCAAAGCATCACACTCATCTATCAAAGTAATATAGAGAGCTTGCAATCTGAATTTTTCTTTGAAATAACTTACTTCTCAATAGGCAAGACATGTGGGCCAGAGATGGAATAACGATATAGGAACATTAGAAACTTCTTGAAAGCATCAAAAAAAGGCCAATGAGAAAGAAGACATATACATTTGTTAGTCTGAACTGTTTTGGAGCTATCCAGCTTCCCATCTCCAGTCGTCATTAACCCCAACTGAGATTTCTGTTTTTCTGTGAGATTCTCCTCAGGATATGCTTCATAGAACTGAATAGCAGCACCATATACCTGCAAGCAATAATATATTTCATGTATTTGTCTAAACCTTTAAATAATAAATTGGAAGTTATAAGTAAATCTATACTCTGCAGTGTGTTAAATTACATGTATGGCATCTTTTAAAATAATGTCTTTAAAATATTCCTGCAGTCACAATAAACTTCGCCCTCTAAATATTTTTAAAACCATAAAGCCCCATGTAAAAGGGAAGCTAGGATAAGTGTTCTTAATGTAGATAAGGAAGTAATGCTGTTGTGTTTAGCTGATATTTCAGGTATTTGGGGGCTATTCTGTTAGCAGTTCAAGATACTAGCCCTCCTCTATGCCACTTCACATTATACCAACAGTATATGCATGGGCATAACGAGGCTGTAATTTGAATGCTTAACTGTACAAAAGTCCTAGCTACTTGTATGTAAACTCACTTTATTGCTTGAAACCACAGACCTAGAAGAAAGCATCGTACTGGTAACTGAAGAAAAGCAGGAGGGAGGGAATTTTGTGTTATCTGAGCCAAAGCCAACTGAGGTCAATGCAAAGACTCATCCTTGACGAACAGGCTCTGGATCAAGCCCAAGCTCGACCCATCCGCGGGAATACCTTTCATCATCACTCTTAACAAATGTCAAGCTGTACGACCAAGTGTTCCACCACTGATAATGGGAGTCTGTGTTTGTAACCTTGTTGCTTTTGTAAACATTAAACGCTGAAGCTTACAAAAAAGAAATACCCAATACTAGTGGTTATGGTTTTACAAGTACCTTTGCTGCTGAAGCTCCAGTTAATACAAATGTAGAAAATACAGGAAGTGGGTATTTGCTATTAGGAGGCCAGCATTCAATCGTTGCACCCATGGGTAAGCAAAAGAGAGGCACAGATTCTGGTAATGGGAAGGACTCATAGTCTTCTTCAGGGTACCGGCAAATTAAACCTATTAAAGCAATATTTAAAAAGACAGTTACATTCCAACACAAGAACTGGGTGTTTGTATTAACCCATTTCCTGTATTAATGTGCATTAGATATATATTAATAGGCATTAACTATATTCAAGCTCATGTTCTTGTTAAGAGATTGAATAGTTTCAAAACATACGGCCTAGTACAAGATAAGTTAACAGCACAAACCCAGATAACTATAGGTCATCACTTGGCTAAAACATGGTGCAAACTAGGAAGTACTTGATTCTCTAGGTACTGCTGAGAAACATTTATTCATTTCCCCTTTTCCAAATCTAAATTACTTAACACTTAACTACATGCCAGTAAATAAACATTTTATTTAATTTCAAATCCTTAAAGAAAAATTGAACTTAATAAGTCAAGGTCTTAACAAGTCAGTAACTGAAAATGATAAGAAAAAATTAAACTGCTAATAGGATTTAACTATGTTTAAAAATATTAGAAAACGTAAAGTAATCTCCTCTCTAGTAAACTGATTTTCCAATGAAAAATTTAGTAATGAATTAAAAAAAAGCATGAATAGTAATTAGATAAAATGACAAACTAAAAAACCCAGAGAGATCTTTAAAATATGTTAATTGGCGTAGTATTCACTGACCTGGATGAAGTTATGCTGATATACATCAGCTAATAATGGCTTTAAATTTAATCAGATTATTTTTTTTCCTAGTTACAGTTTTTATGGGAGCAGCACCATCAGCCAAACAGAAATGCAGTTAAGACATGAATACAAATACATTCAGAATTCAGGTCCATAGAGTCAAGCACTCAACACCGATACAAACCGAGGATCCTTAAATACTAATCACAGCAGGCTTTTATTATGGGGAAGGGAGGGTGTGGGGCGTAAATCTTGCCCCCAACCGGAGAAAAAAGAACTGAAGATTCAAAATCCAGGATAACTTAAAAGCCAGTTTCACTTTCAGAGCACTACTACTTAAGGCTCTTCTATATCTTCAACCATTTGTCTGCAGCAATGTAAATATGAAGATGCATTTCAGAATCGAGCTAATTTATTCTGATAGCATCTGTTTTTTTTCTTTAGTCTTTGGTGTATGCATTCAGGCTGCAACAACAGAATGGATGCATGACTAAACTGAGAAATCAACTCTTCTTCATTATCTAACATTACAAGGTTATTAAAAACCATCAAGGGTGAAATCCTGGACTCAGAGAAGTCAGTGGGAGTTTTGCCACGGACTTCAATAGTGCCAAGATTTCAACCCAAAAGGTAATTACAGAGGCTGTGCCATATTCTGCATCAGAAATGGCAAGCAGTAGTAAGACTATCATATAAGAAACTGAGCCTATATTTAATGCAAACTTAAGAATGAAAGAGTATTTTAGACAATTCTAGGGAATAGTCTGGGTATGTTCTTTCATTAGAAAGTTCTTTGGGTTAAGATGTACTTTATTTTTCTGTCTCATACAATATCAATATCAACTAAATAAGTAGTTCTACAGAAAGATCGATATCAAGATGACATTCAAAGTGAGCATATGTACTGGTAATTGAAATTCAAGAGTACTTACCAGCTTTATATGATATGGTATTAGTTTTTGCCACGGACTTTTTATAACATAAGTATACTGCTGAGCCCCACTGTAAAAAAAAGAATACACTCTTATATTTTTATGGACTGACTTGACAAGGTGTAATAATGGGGTGTGAAATACAGGAAAAAATGCGAGGAAAGAACACTTCACAACACTTATCTTGCATAGAGCAATACCCCAGGCACAAAACATTTATCATTTGAGATCAGAAACAAGGTTCACCTAATTCAGTATCCTGTTTTGGACAGAAGATGGTTCAGATAAGTGGTTAGAACCGCACAGCAGACAGATGTGGGATAATCTGATTCCTCACTGGAGGGCACGGACAATTACACCAAGTGAAATGGTGGGGATGTGCCATGTCCCAGCCTGCTCCATGCGTCTACTCTATCGCAATGTAAGTGGAAGCTCAACAGTGGTAATGTAGCAGCCTTTGGACGCTGTTGCAAGCTACCCCAGTTTAGAGTGCTTATTGCAGGACAGAAGCAGACACACTAGAGTTGCAATAAATTAGACCAGTGGTGCCCAAACCTTTTGCCCTGTGGGCTGGAAGAACAGTTCCAGGTTGGTCTGGGGACCCATCCCGCTGCACAGCAACTACCTGCCCATCACCCAATGCCAGCACGTGGGGCTGACCAGGCAAGGGCTGATCCAATCGTGATAAGCTTGGAAATTCAGCAGTGGAGGAGCGATGACAGTGGTGGGGGAGTGCAAGTGTTAAATTGCCACTACTGAAATTTGCTTAAATCCTGAAACATGATGTTTGGTATTTCCTTTTTTTAAACGTTAACTGTAAAACCCTGGGTATCCTTGTTATCCATATAAATGTCCAATGCCTTTTTGCATCTCATTAAACTCTTGGCTGTAATCCTGTTATTTTACTCACCCATGTAGTCAGGCTGATTTTAATGGTAACAACTCCTGCGAGTTAGCGTAAAAAGATCTGACCCATAAAATAATAGATTTTACTCTGCTACCATTCCCACTTTAAATTACACTGATGTCTAATCTTTTCCTGTATTCAACCACTTAACCTATAATTTCACACTCTGTGAAACATCTTAAATGCAAGACGTCAAACTATTTTGCAATTTTCAAATAATATTGGCTCACTGTTCAATGATGATATGACTTTAAAAAAAGAATTAGAATTTTTCATTTAAAAGAAAATGCTTTCTTATTCCAACTTTAAACGGGCATGGAAAAATAAGAAAAATGGGAAGGGGCCTAGAAGAGAGGAGAAAGGCACACTAATGAGTGCATATAAGACAGGAAACCTTTCAGGGGTGGGAGAAAAAGGAGCAGTTTGCAGGTTACTTCACTGGACTCTTACAAGTCGACTACTCACAGCAGATACAGCGATTCTCGTAGGACTGAAGAAACAACTGAATAATTGCATGCTCTTGAATAAACATCAAGGCATACAACAGCACTGAACTTTAAAATGGACATAAAGCAACTTAATAAAAAAATAAATGCATTTAAAAATCTATATTGTTAAAATTGAGAGATCAATTAGACAACAGACTAGCAATAAAATTTGTTTTACTTCAGTTGTATGTCTGATAGCATTTGTGTATAGAGTCACTATTTTAACTCTGATCATATGAGCTCTTTTCCCCCTGAAGAATGGAAGTGAAACTTTTTTTTTTTTTTTTTTTAAAGGAAGTTGCAAATCACAAAAACGGAGAGGGGACTTGGGAAATGAATTTTACACTCAGCTTTTGAGACTGGCTAGATTTCAAATGGCTTATGTTCTTTTAATGCCAAATAGGCATGTTTTAAAACATTTTGCTTGATCAGGCATGGTCATTTTATCATGGGACATAGGAAGTCTCAATTTACTCCTAAGTGCTAGCTGTCATCTTTCTTGTTACACCTGAATTTGGCTGTATTTAAGATCTGTAATGTTGTCCCTGAAAGATGAGCACTTGTAATTTGCATTACTTCAGCTGAGGAAACTACAGCTCATTTCCTACATCAGGAGAAAGTTCTGCCTGACACAGATGAGTAACCAATTCTTTCACAGGCAGTTGCTTCTAACCGTTCCCTTCCTGTTGTACCAGCACATAAACAGAGCAGGGCAACTACAGATCAATGTGACGCACAGCAGAACACACTTATGGATGAAAGGTTTCTGAGGTTTGGCATATGAAACCCCCACTTCAGTCTGCCTGTCTACTTTGTATGCCCACGCAACAGGCTTTCACAAATAGTTTTGTAGGAACCATTCTGGATACAATGTTTGAAAGCCTGGCCACAGCATTCCCTCTTCACCACGCGGATGAGATACAGCACAAAATGGAAACAAATATATTTTCTCCTAGGCATGTGCTAGAGCAGGGGTGAGCAAAATGCAGCCCGGGGGCCGGACGTGGCCCGCCAGGCCATTCTATCTAGCCTGCGGGGCCCCTAAAAAATTTAGAAAGTTAATAGTGATCTGCCCCTGGCTGCCTATCATGTGGCCCTTGATGGCTTGCGGAAACTCAGTAAGCAGGCCTCCACCCAAAATAATTGCCCGCCCCTGTGCTAGAGGCTCTTTCTGTACTGCTTGCTGGAGACTCCTTTGATTGAAGTGAATGACAGCAATTGCACCGATTTCACTGGGAGCAGGAGCAGGCCTTAACCATCGATCTACATAAAGTCATTGACACCCATGGGAAGAGGGGGATCCTTTTAATGACCATAAGCCCAACTTAAAATAGTGAAACCAGCAGCATAGGGACTTAGCAGATGCAGAAGGCAAACAAACTGCTCAAATCATTACCTTAAGGTCCTAACAAGCAGTTATTCACCCTTCCAAATGGCTGGGTTAAGAGCTGCTAGCTAACAAGAGTCATTTGACAACACAGCTGCCCCAAAAAGGATCAAAATGCAGCTGAGTGAAAATACACATCTGCAACATTATGCAATAAATGAATTCAACTTTTAATAAAGAGACTCTGTTAATGCGATAAGGTCCAGAATGACAATTTTTTTTCTTCTTTTTCTTTTGCACAGTCCATGAAAATGCTCTCTCTCTCTCCATTACTGTCTCTCTGCTCCAAAACATATACCATGCAGCAGGTCGCTCCAAACCTAACATTGTTATAGATACTACAATATCAAGAGCTATCTTTTCAGATATTCAGATCTTGATCGTCACTGGGATATCAGGGCGTCTTGCAAAACAGCACAACAAGAAATAAGGACAACTCAACAGTACCATAAACACATAACAATGTCAGTAAGTTTAAAAAATGCATGCAACTATAACTTAGCAAGACTAATGAATACAGGAGGAGAAGGCTTACTGTCTTGAAATGTCCCACATCCACTACTTGCATTGTTATATCATTTTTTTTAATTATTAAAAAGGTCTTGAAATATGAACAATTAGGAAAAATAAGTCAAATTTAATTTCAAATAGAGGTACACTCATATATTGGTCGCCATGGGTAACTGGTGCCTCCCGAGTCTGGGGGGCACTAGATGGCCAATGGGGGTGGGTGGGAGTCTTCCTGCTGCCGATCCCCAGCTGGGGGGGATGGGACTCAGCAGCCGATTGCCGAGCCAGCAGTAAAACCAGAAGTGCACCTCCGCCAGCACTTCTGGTTTCGCGGCTGATGCTTCCAGGGGGTGCATGGCCGATCTTAGGGGATACATGTGTACCTGCGTGCACCCCCTACGTGTCGCCAATGTTGGCTGCATATCAGACTGGCACAGATAACAGGAAACTCAACGTTATCAGCAATCAGCCTTTTTTGGCCGATAATGTCACCAATAAATATCATGTGCACGTGTGCATCTGCAACATGCACATGGCCAGGAATGCAGCCTGGCAGTTTAAAGAGCAGCATCCAGCCAGTAAGCCTGTGGGAGGGGAAGGGGCATGGAGGGGGGTAGTCTGAGGTCCCCATGGTGGGGAGGGAGTGGGGCAGAGGCAGGTGTGGCCCAGCCAGGGTGGGATGCAGGACAGAGCCATGGGCAGCTTATCCGGGGGGGGGGCAGCCCCCTGCAGCTGTGCAGCCCCCTGGGAGGCATGGGGGGGCATGTGCAACCTAGATTTGTGCACAGGGAGAGGGAGGGCTGCCCACTGTGGGCTCAGGGCCAGTGGCTGCACAAGCCTCTTCGCAGAGCGGGGGCTAGGCTGGGGCAGTGCTCAGGGCGAGCTCAGCTGTGCAGGGTGGGCGGTGATGGCGATGCTGGAGGGGTGGCTGTGAGGAGGGTGCTAAAGGGAATTTTGGAGTGGCCATAGCAATGGTACCCGATTACTGTGCAGTACTGTCACCAGTTTTTTTCTGATGTTACTGTGCAGTAGCTCACTACTACTGCACAGTAGTGTCACATCACAGTTAGTGCCAGGTAATGCTAGTGTGTGGTAGCAACGATACGCTCACTGTCTAGATAAATTCAGCTCCTCGTCCTTGGGTTCTGCGATTAGCATGTGTTCCCTTAACCCACCACATACAAACTATTCTTGGAAACTCTTTCTCTTCCCAGTTAATTTTGAAAGACCCACACAAATTACAGAAGAAAATGAGTTAAAAACAAGTGCACACACGCACAACCACCTTGGCTAGGGACAGAAGTTACACATAAACCAGTAAAAGTGATCAGAAACCAATTCAAATCTGTAACACGACAGAAGTTCAGTGCACATAAACTTTCAAAATGGCTAAAACCGGTTTAAGATAAACCTGGATAGATGTAGTATCAGAATCAAATGATTTAGGTTAAATTGGTTTATTGAACTTCTGTCCCACATCCCCTCCAGATTCAAGTTAACTCACAGTCCCCCAGCATCCCAGGATGCTTTGCATCTCCCTCGCAACCCCCTCTTGCAGGGTGGGTGGGCTAGCTTTGCCAAAAGCTGTCTGCTCCAGCTGATCAGAGAAGCATGCTCTACTGCCCCCCAGCTTCTGGCCTGAGCCACTGCAATGCTAGGCATATGGCTGCATTTCCAAATCAAAAGTGAATGTCTGTTCACTTGTTTATCTGTTCAATCTATGCAGCTTAGACTAACCTGTGAAGACTGAATTGATTCAGCCTTGGGCTTTCTGACTCTCTGTACTTAGCCCTTGGGTCAAAAGGGGAAGGAAAACACTGAAAAAAAATATTTAGTTTGCCTGTTACAGTAATTTTAGCTTCATAGACTTCAAGGCCAGAAGAGACCTCTAGGACCATCTAGTCTGACCTACAGTATCCACAGGCCATAGAATCTTTCCAAGATGCTACTAGTGAAAGTAGATTAAGAAATCCGTCTACAAAACGTTGAAGTTGCACATTCCTTTAAATGTCCTTAGCCCAGCCGACAGAAATGCAACTCGGTGAATGGAATGTTAATACCCCTCAAGGACATACAGGAAGTTGGTCATCTAATCAGTCCCTTCTTTCTCTAAGAATGTGTGTAAATAGCATGCAAAAAAATGCTATACTAAATGCCACAAAAATGTACTATAACATCCACACTTTCAAATACAAACTCCCTTTTCATTTGGCTTGGAAGAAAGCACATGTCCTTGAACTTTGGCACCTTTATGGGGATACTGTTAAATCTGCCAGAGACCAAATTTTATCTAGCTCAAGGACTGAACATTCACTAACAAAGCAAAATTTAGTTTTGCTCTTTTCTATCATTTCTGATAAAATGATGTTTTAAAAAAAAAAAATCAAACCACGACTCCATACAATAGCGTCAATGCAGCAAAATTCAAACTATGAAAAAACATGCTCTGCTATATTGAGACAAACATCTGCACTTACAGAGAACTCTGCAAATTTCACCTTCACGTAGGAAGGAAATTGGCATCCCTGAGCAGAACAGTGAATACATAATGCAGATTCACTTACTGGCTTTTATTCTTACCTCGAATATATATAAATTGGAAGGAAGCCAGACTCCATTTAGCTCTTGAACTGATCAATTAATACCGACTCAATGGAGCACAGACTGGAACTCAAGTCTACCCTCTCTTAGGTGAGTGCCCTAACTATTGGACTATGGAGTCATACCCACTCGTTCCACTTCTTTGGCTCAATGAATATATAAATTATTCCATATAAGTGGAACAAGTTTTACCAGGAAGAATTGAAAGAGCACCCCCCAGAATATCCTGTGGCCCAGCAGACTGGGCATTCACCTGCCAGCAAGATGCTGGTTCCAATGCCCTGAGGCAGAGGAAGGAACTAAACCTGTAACTTCACTGCAGATTGAAGGGAAGCACCCAAGTCCAGAGAGGTATAGACTTAAGACACTCCCCCTGCTCACGGTTTCCTATGGGTCAGCTTGAACAGCTCCCCACTAAATGGGCTGGCTTATGTGGCTCTTATTCCTAGGTACCTAAATCTCCCATTTTATATATGGAACCAAGGCATCTAACTTGGGGTGCAGGTTGCACTAGGTGACAAAGGGCTCCTACAAATGTGTGGGAAGCCTGCTCCGAAGAACTGAAAATCCAGCACGTTAGAGCTGACTCGATTAATCGAGTCCGCCGGAGCACAGAAACTGATGCATTCTGCATCACGTGTATGAGCATCCCTGTGTGTTTCCGGACTGAAAAAATGGCAATGGGGCACTTTGAAATAGAACATGTTCAATGAGCTTTAGTTCAAAGTGCCCCACCGCCATTTTTTCAGCAAGGGGACATCGATACATGTGACATGTGGACGCTTTGAATTAGCACAGCTCACTAATTAAAGTACCTAGCACTGCATCCCACAGCACGTGTAAAAATGCCCCAAGTGCCTGAAACAGAGAGGTTGTCAATCATATCAGGCTACAAACAGATGTTTGTAGTTTTTACTTCGGGAAAATTGCTATTCTCCCAATAGAAACTATAAGTGCACAGATGGACTCAATAGATTTCTAGAGTTGGAAGGGACCTATTAGATAAATCGAGTCCGACCCCCGCTCTGGGCAGGAAGCAGCGCTGGGGTTAAGTAACCCCAGCCAGGTGCTTGTCTAAACTCCTTTTAAATGCCTCCAGGGTAGGGGAGAGCACCACCTCCCTTGGAAGCCCAATCCATATTTTGGCAATCCACACTGACGAATTCTTTCCTGGTGTCCAATTTAAATGTTCTTCAGCTTACGGCCGTTGTCTCTAGTAACCCCGAGGGGCACCCTGGTAAACAACTATGTTGTACCCCTTATTCCCTGCTGACCCCCTCTGATGAGCTTGTAGACGGCCACAAGATAACCTCTCAGCCTTCTCTTGTGTAGGCTGAAGAGATCCAGGGCCCTCAATCTGTCTTCATAGGGTCTTACCTGCAGGCCGTCAGCCATAGGAGTAACCATACGGGTAGCCCTCCTCTGAACCCTTTCCAGGTTATCCATATCCCTCTTGAAATGCAGCGCCCAAAACTGGACGCAGTACTCCAGACGTTCAAGCTTTTTCTCACAGAACAAAAGTGGCTGCTTGGGAGAAAAATAACCCTGGAACAACCAGGGTTAAACCGTTCCTGGTAGAATTTCTGAATATCTGCACACTTTCCTCCAGTTTAACTTCTCCTGGGGTCACAGATCTGAAGGCGCAGGGATCAGCTGCTCCCATCCCTCTAACAGAATACTACCTACCTGCTTCTCACACACCGGAGGTCCCGGTGAGAAGTGGGCAGGGGCTTTTCTGCTACACTCCCTTTGCCTGGCTGCTGGGCACCGGGAGCCGAGCACAGAGAGCAAGGCCATCTGTTGCCATCCTTGCCAGTTTTGCCTTGCCCTCCACCTCTCCCTGCCCCCCTACAGCCCCAGCTCAGCTGAGCAGAAGGGGAAGAGGAAAAAAAGGACGTATGGAGGCACCAGGCTGGGGAAAGTCTTATCCAGCTCAGGTTGCTGCCTAGCAGACTTCTATAATGCCATCTCTGCTAGCTGGCAGGAAATTGGATTCAGGGAGGCTCTCCCAGTGGTAGTGAAGCCCTAGATGTGTGAAGTGGATGGGGGCTTTGCCCAAGGCTTCCAACTCTCCGGGATTACCCTGGAGTCTCCAGGAATTAGATATGAATCTCCAGGAGATTGCTGAAAGTCACCCAGGAGATAAATGGTAAATCATTCATTAAAATAAATATTAAATGTTGAATTCGATGTATATAGTAGTCCAGTTTTTAAAATGTAATAGTAATGTGAATTTGCCTTCCTGATGTAAAGTCAGTGCCCCATACTCCATAACTGATTTCACAAGCACGTGGGTACGTTCACATTGTGTGTCGTGGGCACACCGACATTCCAGAAGCCTCCTGGAATAGATTTAAACAGAGTTGGCAATCCTAGTTTTGCCCCACTGCTTCATCCCCAGACCCTTGTGTGGACAGGTGCAGGGAGGCTTTCCTGGGGAATAGGAGTGAAGCAGGCACTGCTCCCCTCACTTTCTCCAGATGAGGATCACCCAGGTCTCAGGAAAGCACAGGAATAGAAGAGAGGGGGCAGTTGCAGACTGAATGTCCCTCTCCTGGGGAAATTTCCCAGGAAACTTTCCCCAGCAGAAGTGAGTATCTATTGGTGGCCTTAGCTCAGGGGTTTTCAATCTGTTTTCATTTGTGGACCCCTAAAAAATTTCAAAAGGCGGTGTGGATCCCTTTGAATTGTAAGTGTGGGAATTCATATATTTCTGATCGATCGTAATCATCTTTCACAGACCCCTTAGGCATAGTCTTCAGACCCCCAGAGATCCACAGACCACAGGTTGAAAGCCACCACCTTAGATGGAAGCCAGTCAGAGACAGATTGAAGTGTCTAAAGTTGCATTTCGTAATGCTGAGCATATGGGTACTTAAGCCATTCTTAAGAACAAGTCCTATAATCATGCTAACAAGTGTGTACACATGATTATGACTAGCAGTATTGCAACATAGGTTCCGCAAACAGTGTAGACTAAGATTTTTCTTTCCAGAACAGTGCAAGTGAAACTACTCAAACAGCTATATTCCCTATTTGACCTTGCCTTATGTAGTCTTAGCATAGTTTTAAAATAGGACTAAAAGCCAGTTTGCAGATTAAAGATCCCCATCTACAATGAGAATACCATGCTAGAAACCCAAGCACAAACTACCATGTTTGTACACAGCTGTACGTATCATGATACCTCAGCTTCTAACACAAGGCTCAGTGAAGTCAGCCTCTCTAACACAATTTATGCCCACATAGGAACAATGGTACCACCCCTCCTCCCCCTTATGAACTTTTTTTAATTACTTACTTAAGATAAATTAAATTATTCACCATTCTCTCAGGATTTTTTATATAAATCCTCTCTACTCATTGGAGCATTGAATGTTAATTGTATAAACCTAGATGTGAAAACTTACCATACTGCTATTGAGATTCTTATCAACTCTGCAAAACGTATGTGGAGGGGTTTCTCCTTTACTTGGTATAATTATGCATATATCTGTGACAGCCAACATATTCTGGATCATGTTTTCTGATGCTCTTCGATAGGTAATATACACTCTTTGTGATGAAGCACCGCCACTAATGTTAGCAGGACGACCATATGGAGTGGCTTGAATGATTTCACAGCCCTGTTTTACTCTCTCTTTCCCATCATATAATACCCTAGATAAAGAAAAAAAGGATTTAAAAAAAATGATAATTGCTTAAAAACGCAATGAATATTGAACCAAAATTATGACTGAAAACAATCAATTAATAGGCAAATCTTGTCTGCTGCCAATCAAGACTGCATTTTTATTGAAAGAAAAAGTTACTTCAGTTTAAAGCTTGGTGGAACATGCTAATTTCACAATGACGCTAGCCTCTCATTTTCTGTGTGCATCGTTACTGACTTCAGTCACTAATAAGTGTGGACTCTATAGGAAAATCTCTCATAGTATTGTACCTATGCTCAAAATTTGATAGCTTACCGTTATGATTTTGAGAAGGAAACTGTTCTGACACTCGGTCCTGTGAGCTGGTCACTGAACACCTTTGATTCTCTTTTCAATCCCTATTTCAGCTTTACTGGATAACCCAGGGCATGCCACCTAACTTATATTCTATTTTATACGTGAGAAAATGAAGGTAACATCACCAGAAATTCTATCTGAAGAATACGCCTGATGGGTACTTTTGTAAGTGGTTTCCAATGAAAGCAATAAGGACAAAAATGGTTATTGCTCTCCGTAACCAAGATCCAAAGGCTATTTGGTATTGGTTTTTTTCCCTAAAATCTGGGCACTTACCCAACCCCAGTAAAGTCAGCAGAACTCCTTCCATTTGAGGGCTTTTAGTTCTAGTCCCATTTTCACAAAACCTATCAAATTCTAATGGAATCTCTGTCCTGGGAGGTCTTTAAGGCTGGCTCGACAAAGCCCTGCTGAAATGATCTAGTTGGGATGGTCCTGCTTTGAGCAGGGGGTTGGGTTAGATGTGTCCACCCCTCATGTTCTGCGATTCTGAAGTTACTAGAATCAGCATCATTAATCAATATTCTCACCCAAGATCAGTAAGCGGGGGCTTGTCCCTTCCTCTCCGGTAACAAAGGTATATCTGTGGCCCCACAAGACTCCCGTTATTGAGATCTGCCGATAGTCCTGATGGTGTAACATCTATGCATTTGTATCCCTGAGGCACTTCCTCCCCCAGAGATTTAATAATTACGGTCACATCAGTGATAGGTTCTTTTGGTTTAGCAATTTTATGGCAAGCATCATTGAAGTGAATTTCTTCTTCCAGTGGTTTTGAAGTATCCGTCAGGCCTGCTACAACAAAGTAGTCAGCAACACGAGCTCCTTTGTCTTCCATCTTCCATTACAGAAAGTTGTGCCTAGTAAATAATAAATATGCAGACAAATGTTTTTGAAAACAGAAAATTCTAGAATATACCAGATTCTCACATTAAGCAATAAACACAAGCAGTATATATCTTTATAGTTAAAATTAAGTTGCGTATTATAATGTGATTATGTTCTAAAAGAGGACTACTGTCCATCAGCTACTGTACTGCCTTTCATTTCCATTACCAGCATGCAACACTTAAAAAATTCTAGCAACACTCTTTCTATAGTGATCTTGGCTCTCACTGTTTTTGAAGCAGATTTTTTTTCTTCTCTAAGGAACGGCAAATCCATATGGCCTCTTTTTGTTTACTTGCATACTAGAGCACCAGCATCAGCAGTGACAGCAAGAATGTGCACAATTTGGGGAATAGCTTGTTAGTTAAAACTTGCCATCAAGCCAAATGGCTGTGCTCATATATTTAGCATATGCTCACGTTTTGGTACGCACCAAAGGAGAGGGTTATTTTTGTGTAATCTGCAATTAATTTTCAAACATTTAAGACTGTGCATGCGCTGCATTGTATTCTATTTTTATTTACAAGCAACAGTAGGAATGTTTATAACCATCTCACTTTATACTTTGAACAAGTCAGATCTAATAAAGGGAACCAAAGTTAAGGCATGACCTGTCAGACGTATACGGTGTGCTAAGTGGTGCTGATTCAGTAACAAGTACAGTTCCTTAGGGTGAGTACTCACACAGTGCCCTAGCATACAATTAGAGTCACTGTACAGCTGGAGACGTCAGCTTCTGAATGAAATTTAAAACCAAGACCACCTCTCTCTGTCCTTTAATGATCAAATGGTCAATATAAAAAATTAATCAAGATCACATGGGTCTTTTCATAACTGTGGGGGATCACTAATTGTGCTGTTCTGGCCAACTTCCAATTTGGGAAATTGCACTCTTTCTTCCTAAAATCCCTCCTGTAACATCAGCTGGATAGGGAATTGTTCACATCTGGTCCCAGTTAATTTTGTACAGTGTTACTGTGCAGTTTAATGGATGGCTATCATTTTCCACTTTCGTAATGTTGCTGAATTTCAGTGCAAGATGAAATGATCCCTGTTGTGATCTAAGGATGGCCTTGATATTAAAATAGAGGGCTAAATGTCAGAGATTCATTTCCAGTCACAGCTTTGATGGAGAGTCCTGTATAACTTTGGAGAAGTCATCTGACCACTCTGTCTCTCATTTTCTCTAATTGCAAAATAAAGATATTAAACACCATCTGAAATGTCTCACAATTTTTTACAAAACTTTGGGAAACTACCTACAAAATATATTCAAGCAAGATCATGCTAGAAACCATACAATGCATCAGGGAAAACTTTTCAAGAATTAGACTTCTGTTGCTGTATCTTGAGCTTCTGAAAGCAGATGCGTTTTGAAGTTTCTCAAGCTTCCTTTTATTTTTCTGAACTATGTTTGTTAGAGTCAAAAGCAGCACTACAGAACTGGGAAGGTACTGCTGGGAAGAGTGTGCTAGTAGTCAATTAAGTATAAAACCCAGAATAAAAACATAATGGCTGGTATTAACTTGATTTTTTATGTCAGCTGTCACTCTTTTGCCTTGATTTTCATTTTCTGTACTAGGCATAGGAATCAAGCCTCAGGCCACAATGTATCCTGGTTCTTCCTAGCAAATTTTAGCTAATCCTACATTTGTTTTGCTTGGAAGTAAGGGATACGTGTCTGAAGTTGAGACTGTACCCCAGATGGCTAGAGCTCTTGGTTATCAGGGGAAGAATACCCATTATCCACTAACCACCAGACCAGGGGTAGGTAACCCTCGGCATGGATGCCATAGCGTGGCATGCAAAAGCATTTTGCTTGGCATGCATACCTCGGAGTAGACGGCGGGGAAGAGGCCAAGGCCACGCTGCCACAACAAGGATCGGGCCCCTCGCAGCTCCCCTGCCATCTGCCCATGACATGCCCAGCATGGGGTGTTTTTGGCACTCTGCCAACCCCTGCACCAGACCAAAAAAGTTCTCTCTTGTCTGTTTTTGTCTAGAGCTGCGTTTCTCAACCTTTTTCCTTGGGGCTGGACCCGATGATCTTCCGAGGTCCCTTCCAGCCTTACAATCTATGAATACTGGGACCCACTTGCAAAGATCCATGGCCTGTCCTGACCCACACCCTCTGGCCCTGCCCCCTGGGGCATGCTGGTGTCTCTCGCTCCCGACCTGCAGCTCCCTGCCCTTTCACGCCCCCCAGCTTCCAAGCAGCATCTCCAGGCCACCCGCCCCGGCAACCACGGCCACCGGCCATGGTGCCGCTAACCTGGCCATGCAGCTCCCCCCACCCCCTTCCCCTCTGGAAGAGGCAGGCACCTTCCCACCAGCCCTCTGCCCCACCACAGCTCACGACCCTTCAAAATATTCTTGCGACCCACTTCTGGGTCATGACCCACAGGCTCGGAAACTCTGGTCTAAAGCATTTGACTCAACAACAAATGTAACATTGGATGGAACTAGACAGCTTTTTGGTTTCGGTATCATTTTGCCGCTGGAAAAAAAAAAAAAAAAAGCTGGTTGAAATCTTCCTTGCATCCTTAATAACCGAAGTGGAACAGTTTAAAACAAGTGATTGCTGAAAAACTGACAGAATATTAGAAGGATCTTAAGTGGAATACAAAAGGTAACATCTAAATACCTTTACGATAGCTAGAGAGATCCTGTCCTCTCAGAGGACACAAAAAGCAACGCCTTTTTGTTCTACCTTCAGGATTAAAATGACAAAAAACAGAAACAGGTATCTGAAGTAAATAATGGTATCTGGAAAAATGACAGTGTTGTTTTGGTACCAGTATACGAATGTAATGTGATAATGAGCTCAGTCAAAATTTGAAGTACTATATTTGAGGACCTACAAGTTCAACAATAATGTATTGGTACTGTATATCGGGACATATGCCCTCTGCAGAGCAGGCTAGCCACAGTGAGAAAGGATGGGGCAGAGAGAGATTTAATGTAGTGTGTCTAATCTGTCCAAACACTAACAGTCCAAACACAAACACTATTTGAGCTGATACACTTCAAATAAAGTACGAAATATTTCTCAGTAGTACTATCCTTAGTAAAACTCACCTACTATACATGAAATTTACACGGTCATGAAAAACTTCCCCCGATGATTCAGTGGCTGCTGATGGCAATGAATGAAAAATTACAACAGATTTCTTTTAGCTGAAGTACAGTGCATAAATATCTGTTTCTATCAGCTTAAAAAGATGCAGCACAGCTTATTCAGTTGCTTAAAAAATTAAGTCAATACTTTTGAGAGTGCATTGACAAATGTATCAGAAAGAAAAAGACTGTTTCATAATGGAGATCACAAATTAATGGTGATCATAGGCAGCCTGCCAGCTAAACAACAGAAAGGATTTCTTAAGGAATGCCAAAGAGCGAAAGGACTGGCCGAGTGAAAGCCATCAGCACGTCAAAACTGCTCACCGCTTATCCCGAGACGCGCTCTGGCAAGGGAACAGCGTTCTGTAAGTTATTAAATGAAATACATCACGAAAATAAAAAAGCACAATTGTTTCCACTATCAAGTTGCCTTAAAACATAAAGTGATGAATGGATCAAACGTGGCAATTTATTCTCTCTCAGAACACTAAAACAGTTGTCTAGAATGAAATGTGCATTAAAATGAAAGAAACCAAGTGGCAACTAACTAGGAAAAGCCCAGCTACCAAGACGGACTGAACCAGAACACAAGTACGTGGCAGATGGCACTGAGCGTGCTCCAGCCTTTGGGTAAGCAAGCCGGCCTCCGCACAGGCAATGGGGACTGCTCTAGGCTGTGCTGGTTCTGGACACCCGAACTGGGACCGTCTCTCCTACGGCGATCAACATCGCCCCTCTAGAGCATGAGAACGGCCGTGTACTGGGTCAGACCACAGGGCCATCTTGCCCAGTATCCTGTGTCACATCACAGCAGAGAGCACGTCCTGAAAGGGGGAGTGAACTGGGTATGACCAGAGTTTTTTTCTACTGTCCCAGCAGGGTTGGTTTTCTTCTTTTTGTTGACCCAACACAGTGAGGAGGAGGAAGCTGCCTGTTTTCAGTTCAGAGGGGATGAGCTGGACTTAAGGGAGGGTGCTTGGGTCGCAGACTGGGGCAGAGAGCCAGGATGGGGAACGACTGGGACTGCAGGCCGGCAGAATTCAAGAGGGAAAACAAGGAGTTTCAAGACAAAGACTAATGGAATAACATTCAAGTTGAAAGAAGGGTTTACAGAATTGGGTGAGGAAGGGGAATTGGGAATGGCTGGGCAAAGAAGCTAGGGTAAAAAGCTTGACATTAAATACCACCAGGACTGGAAGAAGATCCCAGGGAGGGAGATTGGGCTTGGGAGCCGGTTGACATGAGGAGGAAAACTGGAAGCCAGGTATAGTGGAGAAAGATTCATAGGACAAAAAGAGGGGAATAGGAAACTGAGAATAGGCTGGAAATGCAGCGGAGTGAGACTAGAAAAACTGGGCGAGGAGCTGGGGTGAAAAACTGGAAGAAAGAAGAATCACAGAATCACTGAGTCGGGAGGGACCTAGAGAGATCATCGAGTCCGACCCCCTGCCATGGGCAGGAAGGAGCACTGGGGGTGGCAGGGTCATAAGACCCCAGCCAGGTGCCTATCCAGTCTCCTCTTGAAGATCTCCAGGGAAGGTGAGAGCACCACCTCTCTGGGAAGCCTATTCCAGGCTCTGGCCACCCTTACAGTGAAGCAGTTCTTCCTAATATCCAACCTAAACTTCTCCTCCCGCAGCTTGTGGCCATTGTTCCTGGTGACTCCAGGGGGGACCTGGTGAACGGACTTTCCCCGAGTCCCTGCTGCTGGCCCCTGATAAAGCTGTAGGCAGCCACAAGATCCCCCCTGAGTCTCCTCTTGCGGAGACTGAAGAGATTCGGGTCCCTCAGCCTCTCCTCATAGGGCTGGCCACGGAGGCCCCCAACCATGCGAGTGACCTCCTCTG